GGCGGACATTTCCTTTTATTTGCGATTAGTGAGGGAGCGATCTTCTTTGGGGGCCGACGTGGCTGCGATGGATCGTCAGGGTGAGAGTGAAAAGGAAGGTGCGGAGTACATGACGGCGGTGTCAAATTATGTCTCCGTGGCAGCCGCCATAGCTAAGACACGTCTAATGGATATCTGTGGTTCTAATGATTTGAAAACCAACACATTTCTTTTCAACCAGATGGCGATCGGCTATCGATTGGGCGTGTCACTGCCGCCTGAGGCCGAAGAGCGTCTATCGTGCCATCTGGACACCAAACACCTTCCACAGCTTCTCAGCGACCCGCGGCAGGTCATAAATGCCGTGACAGTTGCCCGCCAAATTTGGCATGTAAACCCGACGGTCGCAAAGGAGGTGTTTCATTTTGTTGAGAGGAATGTTGGCTCGCTGGGTGCACAGGAGGCGCTATTGCTTGGGGTAGAGATGACAGAATCGCTGTCTGACGCGGGTGAATCAAAGGACCAGGTAGTGGAGATGATGCATAAGCTGCACGCGCTGGCGAAGCAACGCTTGAATGATGCACGACGACTGAAGAAGTTGAGCGTGCAGGAGGTAGCACTTGGTGCTCTTTACGGTGTTGTGGAGCGCCCGGTTTCTTCCACTTCCCATTGAAAGAAGGCTGATGGCTTTCGGAAATGAACGTTTTCACATGGCCCTTGCTTTTTAAACTGCACGTTTACTTTCCTCTCTTTCAATGATTCACTTGATTAAAACATTTCAATGACATCTCTTATTTTTTTTAAATCTTTTATGGGTTTGGTTTCTGCTACCTGAAGGGGATTAATACTGTCTGGCTTCTAGCACCGATGAAGTTCCTCAAGCCTGGCAAGGTGGTGATCGTGACGTCCGGCCGCTACGCCGGCAAGAAGGCGGTGATTGTGCAGAACACCGATTCCAAGAGCAAAGAGCGTCCCTACGGCCACTCTCTGATCGCCGGCATGAAGAAGTACCCGAAGAAGGTTGTCCGCGGCATGAGCAAGCGCACCATCCAGCGCCGTTCTCGCGTGGGCGTGTTCCTGCGTGTCGTGAACCACAAACACTTTCTGCCGACGCGGTACAACATGGACTTGTCGAGGGAGCTCCGCGGCCGCATCAACGTCTCGGATGCGTCGAAGAAGGCCAGGTCGAAGCAGCTGGTGAGGAAGTTGTTCCAGGCTCGCTACAACGCCGGCAGCAACCGCTGGTTCTTCCAGCGTCTGCGCTTCTAGGGTGCTACTTGTGTATGATTCCCCTGTGAGTTTTTTTTTTTTGATCATTTCTGATGCTCAATGGCTTCATGGCTTTACCGGTGGCATCTACATGTGTTTTTTTTTTATCAATTTTTTTTCTCGTGTTTTTTCTGTCGTCCTTCAAGTCCTGCATGCGTCACACATTCTTTTTTTTTTTTAACTTTCATTTATCGTCTCTCTCTCTCTCTGTGTGTGTGTGTGTGTGTGTGTGCTCCCGGGAGGTTGCCTGAATTGGGGTGGGCGGGGTCAAATAGAAGTTTATTGCCTGACGTTGGTGGGTCACGGTTTTGCGTCTTTTGTGTCCGCTCTGAGTTTTAGCGACGTTTGAGGCTGTCGTCTGGTGGCGATGGCGGAGGCGATCAAATGCATTTCTGGGATGGAGCCCCAGGCCATTCTGGCCAAACAACAGTACCCCAACGGCATCTCGCAGAGCATGTTTTCCATCTTTGACAAGTGCAAGGACAAGAAGCGCATGATTGCACCAACGCTGCTGAAGGGCGTCACGATCGCCAAGCTCTGGGAGAGCATTTTTTCCAACTCATCGGACTTTCTTAAGCGATATCACGAAAGACGGAAAGAAACCGATGTGGAGGTGGGGAAGTGGGTGTATTTAAACGACATGGGTAGTGGATATCGCACCGTATCTCTCCTCACTGTTGTGGACATACCAAAAGCTGGGAGTGTCACACAATTGAATGAAGTTCATCGCTTTTCGTACACAATTTCGTCCAGCGGGGCTGTGCTGCTTCTGTATCATATTTCATCCCAGACCCCAAATGTCCCTGCTGGTCAATCGTTTCGTACGGAGGCCTTTTTGGAAATTACTGCTGAATCTGTCAATGGCGACTGCAGTATTTGCGTCTGGGGTGGGTGTAAAAAAATGAGCATGGCGTTCGCGGCCATCCAATACATGGCGGTGCCGCGAGCCATTCGTGAAATGACAAATGGATACCGGATGATGCTTCAAATGATTTCTGAGGATTTGTTGGGTGATGCGGTGAAGGTTGCCACCGAGGACGAAGACGCGAATGGAGACGGCCAGAAAGATGGTAAAGAAGCCGAGTACGGTGGTGCTGACGGTGGGGGCGATGGCGGTTACCAGGCACCGGGTATGGTATTCCAGGGACTGATGCTGATGCTTGCAATTGTTGTTACAATTTCTATTCTTTGCTCCATATCAACATTGCGAAGTACTGCCCAAATCTCAACAATGATTTCCTCTCAGCTTGTTGATGGAGGCATGCAAGGAGGTGCCTCACGCAGTTCTTTGAGTGGCAACTTAAACTTGCACCAATCCACCGGGGTGGGGACTGCACGCGGCCCAATAACACAAGACCAGGCTCTTCGTTACGCCGCTAGAGATGCACAAATTCAGTCTCTTCGCTACCGTTGGATAGAGCAACGTGTCACCGTACAGAAACTGGAATCTACCGTTGCACGTCTGTGGTGGATGAACGTATTGCAGTTGGTCTTCATGGTGCTTTTGTTGGTGAAAACTTTCTTTTTTTGATGTTTTTGACTTTGATATAGTACGTCGATAATTATTTTCCTTCAAAAGGCGTCTCTCTTTCTTTCCTTTCTCCCTCGCGCTCTTTCTGTCTCTCTGTCTGTCTTTGTGTGTGTGCTTGTGCTTGCTGTAGGCTTGGCAATGGGGGAGGGGGGTTTGCGTGAGGTAGCAGTTTTTTTCCTTATAACAACTTTTTTTTTTTTTTTTTTTTTTCACTTTTGTGTGTATTTGTGTTTTGCCGGGCTTTGCTCTGCACGGGTCGGGCATGGGGGGAGCTTTGATCACCATGCCTCTGTGTGGGGGAAATTACATTGAGCCGAGGCCTCTGGGTGGGCCGAATCAAACAATACTGCAGCGGCTCCCTCCTCCCATCACTCTCTCAGCCTCCCCCACAGAGAGAGACAACCCCGTGAGGTGGCAATAAATATTTTTAGGGAGAAAGAGCCAACAGGAAGGAAGAAGCCGAAAAAAAAAAAAAAAAAAAGGGAGAAAACAACAAAAAAGGTTACATGACGAGGAGGCTACTGCAAAACGACAGTTTTTTTAATATTTTCATTTGGGGCATTTTTTGAAGCATCCGCAATTGGATGGGGAGGGAGGAGGAAGAGAGGGTAAGAGGAATGGGGAAAAGACGAAAAAAAAAGAAAATAATAATTATGAGAACGGGCTTTGGCTTGCTTTTTCAGAATTGATTTTTTTGCAAGGTGTTTTTGCCACTGCAATATGACTTATCTTCTCCATTTTATTGGTGACGGACTGGGAAAAACACTGTTGGTAGGGTCATGATGAGATTCCGTTTCAGCACAGAGGAGTGTGTTACAGGGAAGGCGAGTTTTGACAGCGCAGCAAGAAATGATACAATGCCCTTTTTGTATCCTTGTAGAATAACTTAATTAATGTCGTCTGCGCCACTTCTTTTTTTTTTTTGATGCATTGTGGCTACGTTTCTCCGGGTCGTTTGCGTGGAGGAAACTCATGTTGCCACAGAAGGAGCCGTGGAGGGCGGGGGCGCTGGAGTTGTGGGGGGTGGAAGCTGTTACTGTCAGTGGCGAGGGCTTTTTCGCACTGACGGTTCTGCAGCACGACAACCTTTTCACTGACGAGGTATATTTGATGTATGTGTGATTGGAACTCGGTGTTTTTGGTTGTGATTGCAGAGTACAAGATTGAAGTTTATGGGGCGCAGGGGCTCTGTGAACTTGGGAGTACTGCAGTCAACAAAATATTCCGTATTTGAAGAGGGCTCGGCCGCATCTCGTTTTAGAAAAGGTTTTTTTTTTTTCTCTGTTTGCTCCTTTGGATATTCCGCGTTTGTCATTGCTGTGCTATGAGTGCGCCGGAGGGCTGAATTGTGTCTTTCCCGGTGTGTGTGCATGTGATGGGATTGGTGCGGCGATAGTTCAGCCTGTTTTTTTTCTTTTTTTTTTTTTGTGGCTTAACTTGTGGCGTTGCCACTTGGAAGTATGACGAGGGAGAGTATTGGCGAAGTAAACAGCAAGTTTTTTCTCAGTGTATTTACCTGCAGTCAGCTGTTGGATGTGTTCTACGAACTCTCTTGAGGGGATCCATGAGGAGGAGCGACCGGGCGACGCCGCGTTGCTGTGGCCTGAGGGGATGCAGCGGCAGGCGAGAGGAGAGTGTGGGCCGTCAGTTCTGCCTGTTGGAGCGGCGCCGGATGGTACGAACTACACCCCGTACGTGGTGCAGTCAACGAGCACGTGCGCCGTGCCATTTTCGGAGATGTTGGAGTCTGCGCTCCACTCTTCTGTAGAGGCGTTGGCCACCCGTGCGGCGGAAGGCGAGAGCGGTTTCATCAATGCGTGCGCACCTCCTTCCTCTTGGTGAGGCCTCTAGTCTGCGTGTTTTTACGGGTATTCTAGGAGGACAACTGCGGCGCTTGCACTTTCCGCACGTTCAAGCCTTTCCCTTTTGTGTCCTGACAGCGGATTGGTGGCTCTGCGCGTGGCGTGGGGGACGGGTTGCCAGGAGTTGCGCGCTTTTAGCGTGATGCTTCTTTTCCTTCACCAGATTCAAGCGGTTTTTTTTTTTGATATTTTTTGCTTTTCTGTTTACCTTCTTTTTTTTTCCTTTTTGGCGTCTGTTCATGCAGTAATAAGAAGGAAGAGACCACAGCCCTTTCGTCTCGGCCGGTTTCCTCCGGCAATTGCTTTGGGGGTATTTTTTTTCTTTTTGTCTTTCTGACTTCTGCGCGGGCAGTCGGTGGATGAGGGTGGCGGTGCGTCTTCTGCGCAGGGATGAGCGCATCCCCTCGCCGGGCAGTTCGCTCCTCAACCCACGCAGCCAGCGAGCCAAGCTTCGGCAGATGATGATGACTCACGCAGCACAAGAGAAGCAGTTTGAAGAGCAGGCGTTGTTTGCGGGACTAGGAGGCGCCTCATCATTGCCGCCAGTGCGTAGCAAAAAGGAGCGAACCTCAAAGGCTACTCGCCGCGTCGGACGGGACGTGGCGGAGAGAGCAAAGTGCATGACAGATAGTGAGTGGGAAAGTGTCCCTATGGACGAGAAACACGCGTTTACTAAGTACATGAGTCAAATGCTGCGCGAACACCCAACGGAAACGACAGAGCAGCAGCGGCGTCGGTACTTTGAGACGACCATGGTGGATGCACGTGACCTGGATCCACAGAAGACCGTTCGAGACGAGTACGAGCGTATTAAACTTGGTTTGCCCGTACAGTTGAAGAATCCACAACATCCTTTGGGCGTTTCACAGGCCGTGTACGAAGCGGCGGATGCCTCACTTTTTGACCCGACGAATGTTCATAAATTGGAAAACGCCATGACCCACATTAAGCAGGTATTTGCAGATTACGTACATAAGAAGCGGGAGGGCGTGAGTACAGAGGCGGAGCGACGACAGTTGGCGAACATGACGGCTGAACTGAATTTGGAGACGCAGAAACATCTTGCAAACACATTTAAATACGCTGAAACCCGTTTACGGCAGATTTCTTTGGAGGAAAAACATCGTCAATTGAAGGAAATTGAGCGTCTGCGACGGGTTGCTCAACAAAAGAGTGGTGGACATCGGCGTGGAAAGAAGGAGAAAAGGGCGGCACGTACGGAAAAGCTGAAGCGAATGATCAGCAAGGCTGTTGGGCTGGATATGAACGTCGCGGAGACGGTTCTTACCGAGATGCGTGCTCAAGAGGAGTTTCTGCAGTTTTGTGAGGTTTTCGCCCGCCTGACGCAAGGCAGTGGGTTTCGTCACACGTCAAATGATGAATCACTTAGCGCCTACGTGGAGAACTTACGTAAACTGTATTCCATGAATGCAGACACCCTGAGCACGCTGGACGTGGTGCAGTACTACGCCTCGAAGGAGGGCTCGTCGCCGGTGGATTGGGCAAAGCGCTGGTATGAAAAGGCGTTGCTTCTACCGCTGCAAAACACACCGGAGTACAAGCAGTTGCTTGAAATTCAACAACGTGAGCAGGCGGCATTCAAGGCGAAGGCAGAGCTCTCTGAACCGAGCGATGCCCTGGCAATTCAGGCGGAGTCGCAGGTTGCCCGGGTGAAGGTGCGGAAGGTGGTTAACATCGTGGAGAAGATGTTTATGGACCCCGGAGACAAGCGACTGGAGTCGTGGCACGAGAAGCGACTCCGGTATTTGGCTCACATGCAGATGGAACGGCAGATAAAACGCGTCCGGGAGAACTCAAAACTGTTCGAGGGTGTCGAATGCACCCCCGAGGCAGAGCAGTGCCGGGAGTTGTACAGGAATATTATGGAGCGCAGAGCGGCATTGCGCGCGTCGTCAGCGGAGATCACCGCCACCACCGACGGCACGCAAGGAGTTGTGGCAGCTGAATCGCGGGTTGGTGAAAATGAGCAGAAATTATTCAACGTATACGACGATGCGGAGGCAACTGCACTGTTTGAGAAGATCCGGGATATCACAAAACAGGTGATTCAACAGCGAAGAATAGAGAGCGCGGCCGCTGCCAAAGCGCGAAGTCTGCAGCGTATTATTCGAAGCCTGAGGGGGGGCGAGCAATCCTTGGCAGAGGAGCTTCGTGCACTTCAGCGGCAGCGCAGAGAACGCATCACACAACGTCTTCTTGGCGTTGTGGAGAATGATGTGAAGACAGAGATGGAGTGGCTGGAGAACATGGAAGAGGCGGAGCGACCTCCACTGCTCCCTATACCGGAAGGAATGTCATATGTTTCTGCCGCGGATGTGCGGGCGTGGCGGGACATCCGCATGGAATGTGAGCGCAAGGCCGGAAATCCGTTTGAGCGAAGAAAGCGCGTTTTTCAACCGGAGCTTTTCGGGCAGACATGGCGTGTGCCCGACCGGCCATTGTTGTTCTGGGGCACTGGTGTGACTGCCGTACAGCAGGCCTTGCGACACGCCGCGGAAGACGCGGAGCGAAAACGACGTGGAATTCCTCTTGCGCCACCGTATCCGTGCCCAGAGAATCCGTGGGGCTGGCGGCTCGCAAAAGACATTTTGGACGAGGAATGACGCCGGAAAAAAGGGGGTTCTAAGATAAAGTTTTGTCCATGGTGCTTTTTTCGTGCGTTATTTATATTTTTGATACATGCCTTGTGTGTTTGGTTGTGGGTGAATCGTTCCACCACTTTTTTTTTCTTAAATTTTTTTTTTTTTTCTTGTCTGCACACATATAAAGAAATAATTTTAGGTGGTTTTGTTGCTCTTTTTGTGACCAAGGATAGAGAGCAGGCATTCGGTAATGTATGACAACGTCAATGAGGCGCCTGGATCCCCAGTAGGGAACCAAACAGAAATTGTTGGGGATACCGCGCCATTTGGGGTGAAGATCAGCCCTGCGGTTTCGTCTGATGTGGGGCAATCCCAGCGAAATATGAAGAGCAGCAAGGCACGTGAAATGCTGAATCGCATTTTCAACATTGTGCCATACGGTGGAATTGTCTCGAACGCCTTCAATCTTGCAAGTGCGACACTTGGTGCTGGTATCGTGCTGATACCCTCCGGATTTCGAGATTCCGGCATCATCGTCGCTACTCTTCTTCTCTCACTGTGTTGCGCATGCACCATTTACTCCATTCGACTTCTTGTGCTCACGAAGGAGAAGACGGGATTTCGCTCCTATGAGGAGTTGGCACGTGGTCTTTTTATACGTGGTGTCGATTACTTTGCGGCCTTGCTCATGTTCATGTTTTGCTTTGGGACCTGTGTTGGGTATGTCATATCCGTCGGCGACTTACTTTCCCCGCTGCTCAGTGCGTCATCGGTACCTGAGTTTTTTCGTACGGACAGTGGAAGTCGTCTACTGGTCAGCGGTATTTGGCTGGTTGGAATGTTTTCTCTCTCGCTCCCGAAGGAAATCAACTCGCTTCGTTACGCCTCGGTGGTTGGTGTGGCTCTCATCATTTTCTTCGTCATCTGCATGATCCTGCATGCCGCCAACAATGGCTTGCAGGGAGGGCTGTCGAAAAATCTTTATTTGTACAACAGCGGCACTAACGCAATGAACGGACTCTCGCTGTTTATTTTTGCCTTCATTTGTCAAGTCAACTGCTTTGAGGTGTACGAGGAGATGCGGGATCCCTCACCAAATCGGATGACTCGTGACAGCACCTTAAGTATGGTGACGGTGGGCCTGCTCTACTTTCTCGCGGGGTTCTTTGGCTATGCGGACTTTGGCGACGCTGCCTCAAGCTCGGTGCTGCGGCTCTATGATCCCAGGAATGACTTGTTGATGGCTGTTGCATACGTCGGCATTGCGATTAAGCTTTGCGTGGGATTTGCGATTTGCATTCAGCCGTCACGTGACGCTGTCTACTATGTCCTTCGTTGGGGGAAAACTTCTGACGTACCCACATGGCGTAATCTTCTCGTCAGCGGCTTTCTTGCGCTTCTCGCTTTGATTCTCGGTCTTTTTATACCGAGCATCAACGTCGTGTTTGGATTTCTGGGCGGCGTGTGCGGTGGCTTTTTGGCCTTTTTGTTCCCCGCCTTTTTTTATATTTACTCCGGCAACTGGTCTCTGAAAGAGGTGGGCTGGATGAACTACATCGCCACCCATGTTCTTATTATCCTTGGAGTCGTCGCCGTGGTCTTTGGCACCGCCATGACAATTTACAGCGAAGCCCATGGCTGATGATGCGGATGCGGCAGGGGGGGCAACGGCAACGACGTGAGCCGCCACGTCCCGAAGTACGCCGTGTGTCCACGCAGCAATTTACGCGGCCGGGGAGGAATTGGTAGTTTTGCCCCTCAGCACCGCATGGGATGTAGACAGGAAGAGAAGACAAATACACAGAGACACTTACGCACACAACGGGTAGCGCACGATGAATCACAGAAGGGGGAGTGAGTGACGGTCTACGGCCAAAAAAAAAAAAAAAAGAATAAAAAATAAATATAGGGAGAGACGATGTGAACGGGTTCAATGATCCAAACCAAATGAACAGCCGTGTTGACTGACGTGCATACCGATGCCCGTAAATGAACGGAATGTAACTGAACGCAACGATAAACATAGATGTAGAGGAAAACAAGATTTTTAGTGCCGACAAGAATGGATTTGATTTTCTTGTTTTTACACCGTCGGATATTTGTCTTGACATTTCTTTTTTGGGGCGCATTGCATTTTGGTTTTATCTCCGTTTGTTCTTGTGTTTGCAGGTGTTTTTTTTTTGTTCTTTCTTTCTCTCTCTTTCTTTTTTTTTTTTTTTTTGCCTTTTTTTTTTTATTGTTTTCCTTCCCGCAATGTTTGTTATTTTCGGTATTCCTCGACGAGGCCATTCTCTTTTTGTTGTATCTCTTTAAAAGAAACACACACGCACACACACACGCACATAAATTTTATATATTTTTACATTCATATATAAATGTGTAAATACATGGACACTTATTAACATGGGGTGCATGTGTCTTTTTGTATTTTGTTTTTTTCTTTTTCTTTTTCTTAAAAAAAAAAAAAAAAAATAAAAATTTCTTGCCCTTTTCTTTTTTTTATGTTTTTTTTTTTTTTTAATTATTTTCATTTATTTATTTATTTTTTTATTTTTCCGGTGGGTCCTCGCGGCATGTCTTTCTTCAGGTCATTTGTCTCAATCCCCCCCCCGCCCCCCACTCACTGCCTGCCAGTCAGCCGGTTTGGGATCGTTTTTCCTCCCGCACATGTGTCTTGCATTCACCCCACGCTGGGCGGGGCGATAACAATAAAAGGGGTGGTGGTGGGTGGGGGAGGGGATGAATGAATGCGGGAGCAGGACGGTGTGGAAGTGCTGAAAACCACCTGCGTGTAATGTCCGCACGCACAACTGTGTGCATCTTTGGATGCGGTGGATAATTACACGCGTACAAGCTGTGGAAGACGCAATATCCAAGCACACAGACACGCACAGACAGACAGACACCGCTCTTTCTATTTGTGTGCGCGGGGAGGGAGGGAAGTTGAGGGGCGTGCGTTTGTTGTCTCGCTTTTTTTTTTTTTTTTTTTGAGACCCTCTCCCCGTGCGCGCACCTGAAGGAAAGCCACTGCCCTCGTTGACGAGGACTCCACCATTTTGTTGTATTCCATTCGATTCATATAATTTATGTTTTATTTTGTGTTGTGTTGCGTTGTGTTTTTGCGCCCATGTTGCGGCGCTGTGTGTCATTTTTTTTGCCCTCATGTCACTAACGCACACCGGCACTTCTTTGACCTGCCCACAGCACCGCCACCTCGCCAGTTGAAATAATGGGGGGAGGCAAGAAGAAAAAAAAAAAAAAAAAAAAAAAGGAAAATCCAACGGAAGCAGCTGGCAAACGAGCAGACGGGCGCTGAGGGCGGTGATGGGACGCATATATAAATATAAAAAATACATTTCCGCGTGAGTGTATGTGTGTGGTAAATTCGTTGCAGTTTTTAAGGCATGAAAGGGCATGGTAGAGAGAATGGAGCGAAAGAGGAATACATTCATTTTTGCTTTTGGGGAGAGGAGGGAGAGGTGGTAACGAGGTGTTAATAAGCGAAGTAGCCTTAGCTGAAATTTTTTTTTTTTTCTTTTGTGTGTGCGTTTGTAGGAAAACACACCAGCGTGAGGAGGGAGCGGGTTTTTTTTTTTTTTCTCTTTTACTTTCGCTTTCCATGCGGTTATTCGCTGGTTCCCTTGTTAGCTGAGTTTGATGTAGTATGCGGGGGGTAAGTGTATGGGCAGGAAGTGTCTCTGAGCTTGTTGCAGTGGGGAGAAGGTTTTTTTCCTCTTTATGCCTTCTGCCCTACAATCATCTTCTTTCCCCGTCGTAGCGAACAGGCGGTAAAAGAGGGGAGAGCAGAGGCGGGGGGGGAGGTGATGCGGTAGCACGAATTTGGGAAATATTTATGGGCCTTTGATCATTTTTATTTATTTATTTATTTCCTCTTGTGTGTGGCAGCGTTTATTGTCCCTGTGTGCTCTCTCCCGTCGCTGTTCTGTTCATTTCTCTCTCTCTTTTTTTTTTCTCTTTGGCACACGCCGTTTCATGCCAGCTAGGCGACCACGCAGCACACACTCATGCATCGCATGCCGTACATGTCGTCAGTCTTCGGATGAGCACTTTTTGTGGCTGCCCGATGCCACGGGGGAGGGGAGAAAATTGTTTCTTCCGTACCGCTCTTGGCGTGTCGTGGATGATTGGCGAAATGCCCGCGTGTGGGCCGTGCCGCCTGTTTTTTTTCTCTTGGAGTGGAAGACGGCGCCTGTAGCAACAATGCGTGCCTGACGTTGTTTGGTTTCAGTGCGACTGGGCGTACCCGCGTGCCCCACGCCGCTGCGTCCATCTGCCATTCCTCTTCTCGTGCTGACCTCCTGCCGTCATGCTGGCAGGGCGCTGTCTTTTGGCATCCTTCTCTTCTTGCGCACCATTTCACTTCTACCACCACATTTTCCTCCTGCACGGAGGGTGCCTTCCTTCACGTACCTTTTTTTTTTTTTTTTTTTCCTTTCCCTCTTTTGGGGCATTCTCATCCTCGTGTTTTCATTCGACTTCTAATCCAGCACTGCCGTCTGGAGTGGCCTTTGCTGGTTTGCTGGTCGAAGAGATGTACTTTCCCTTTCGGGAGCGACGGTGAATGTGAGTCTCTGCAGCCCCCCTTCACTCAATTGCACATATGTATGACACATGTGTGTAACTATAAACAAATAAACACTTTTTTTTTTTTTTTTGACTGCTCTTCTTTAGAAATGTCGCTTCGTTACAAGTCCCGCGGCCTGCTATTCAAATGTGTGTTTTTGCTTATGGCAGTTTATTTGTGTTTCTTTGTGCTTTGGCCTGAGCACGATGCGAATAAGCAGGGTACACGATTGCCACAAATTCATCAAGCAACTCATGGATTGGGTGCTCAGATTAACGGTTCGCAGGGTTTTCAACTGGGTTGGAGCGGGAGGACATGTGGCCCGGGCGCTAGATTGATACATAAGTCATTGCTGTCACGTTGCCGTACATTTGCCAATAAGAGAGGGTCTGTCTCTCTTGCGTTTTGCGATAGGATTCTTCGTCCTGGTCCTCCACCTTGTGGATTTTTTGTTGGGGGGAAATTCAAACAACCGCTGAGGCTACTGGGTTTGTCCGCGTTAAAGCAACTGCGTGGGGACGGGCGTTTTGAGGCGTGTGCCTCTCGCCGGATGTACGACGGAGTGCAGAGCAACTCGACGCTTCACGCCGTCGACGTTGGGGACGGGTCGAGCCTCGCGTTTGAGGTACGGCCGGCGTTGTGTCCGAGCTACCGATACGTTTCTCCGCTAGAGGCTTTGTCGATCTTGCACCATGCGAGCATTGGTCGCAACGGACACGGCATTATTGTTACTGGCGATTCAATGTTGCGGCAGTTGTTGCTTAGGCTGATGTTTTTTTTGCGTGGAGAGGATGTGTTTGCGGAGCACGAATTTCACCGTGACGCGCTGTATGTTGTTTACGAGGATCGTGACGAGCTGATTCTTTCCTTTACCTGCGCTCATGCAGCCTTGATTGAGACATACTTCCCCGGGTACCAGGGGCATATGAAAAATAAAAACTCCTGTGCCCACGTTTTACAAAGTGAGCGTGTTGTTGCTATTTTCTTATATTTGTGGGATCCTCTTGTGAATGATTTTCGTGAGGACGCCTTTCGCATAAGGAGTCCACCCGTTCACTTGGCCTCCTTCATGTATTGGTGGCAGCGTGGGGAGGAACGTCTTGGTGGTTTAACCAGATATTTTCACCGCCTGAAAAGTCGAATGGTTTTTGACAAGAAGGCATTTGGCGTACCAGCTACGAAATACGTGTTTTTCACAACGCCCAGGACGGAAGCTCTGCCTTCTTTTGTCTTTCCTGATGATCCGCGCCTGGAGAGAAACGCATTTACATGGAAAAACCTTCAGTCAATGGAGGAGGAGTTGGATGCAGGAGGCTTTGGAACAGCGATGATGTCTTTGGTAGATTTTGCCGCCTTAGCGGATTTGCGACGTATAAGCCGAACGGATGATTTGATACATTTTATGTGCACTTGGAGGCCAAAGAGCCCACGGAAAGTGTCAAGTATGAAGACTGCTCATGTGACGTGCCAAGACCCTGTGAATTTGGCGGTGGTCCAGTGGACGCTGCATTTGCTGTGGACAGGGCTTTAGCCGCATGCTTTTCCGTGTCTTTGCTTTTTTCCTTGACTTTTATGAGGTGCGCAGGAGGTGTTAATTTTTTGTTGGGTCTGCGAAGAGAAGTAATGGCTTTGGAAACGACCTGTTCTAATATTTACTTATTGGGACTTTTTTTTTTTTTTTTCTTTTTCTGTGCGTGTGTGTGTGTGTGGGAATTTCGCGCGTGTTTTCTCATTATGGTAGGGCCTGTGACAGAGTGGTGGCGCAGGTATGTGAGACCTTATTTTTTGTTTTTTGAGTATTTTAATCCTCCAATTGTACCCAACGGCCTCGGCGTCTTGTGTTTTGAAGGCTTAGAAAAGGCAACCTTTGGGGTGTGGGATTACCCACATTATTAATAGGCTATATATATATATATGCATATGAGTATTTTATTTATTTCTTTATTTTGTTTGTGAACTTCTTAGCGGTAGATTAGGCTCTCCGCTCTCATAAAAAGCTCCCTTTTCTTCTTTTAGGGATTGGAGGACAATATTTGTTTTTGCGGCTTATTATCGCAGTTATCGTATATCTCTCTCTCTCTCTCTCTTTCTGTGTGTGTGTGTGTTTACGTGTGTGGGGATTTCTGGCTTTACGGAGTTTGTTTATTTTGTTTGTTGATGTGGATGGCATTGCGTAATCATTCATACATGCAGCATTCTTTTTTTTCCTTTTAAAAAACAAAACAAAACCCGGGGATACCAATGTTAAGTCTTTTTTTTCTTTCTTGCTTTTCTATTGCGAGGTGCTGTCGCAAAGCAATGGAGGCGAAGTTGGAGGCTGTTGTCGCAGCTCTGCATGGACGGTTTGATAAAAATGGGTCCTTCTCTCATCCATCGCATGCTTACGGCATTGCGTGGGAGTTGGTGAACGCCCTGGCTGCGACGGAGCGTCGGTGTCAGCTGCAGCGTCTCCTTTTACTCTTTGAGGAGAATCGAGATGACTACACGGTGGAGCAAATTGTTTCCGCGGGGTCTTTGGTGCGTGCATGCGGCCTTTTGCTCGAGCACGACGTGTGGCGATGGGAGCGAGCGATGCATTCGATACTTGTGTCGCACCCACCTTTTTCGAGGGATGTCGTCTCGTCCGTCTGTTTTTGCGTTGCGCAGATGGCAGTGTGCGGCGACTCCGTTGCGTTGGTTGGAGTGGCTGGGGCATCGCTACAGAACACTGCTTCGGGTGAATCTTTGCCGGAGGAGGTTGCGAGTGAGCTGCTGGCGGAGTGTACCGACGTTCTTGTGAGGCGGCATCGGGTGGAAGAGGGGGAAAAGGAGGAAGGAGACACGAATGAGGGAGAGGATCCGAGAGGGAAATCTTCTTCACGCCGTGCGGCGCTGAGGGATGCGTTGATTGGGTACGCACTGGATGCGCTCTCGTGCAAACGTGGGGCTGAGGCACTGAGTTCTCTTCTTTCTTCTCGTGTGTTGATACCACTACTTCTCTCCGGCGGCCACCAGTCGCTTGAAAGCCACCATCCGCGTATTCAGTCACTGCTGCAGTCGATCTCAAAGGAAACAGCGCGGCAGGGAGAGGTCGTCGTCCTTGTCACGGCACTTTTTGAGTATCTGTTTCGTTTTACGGATGGCGACAAAGACAGGGACTACCGGTGCTCCCCGCATCTGTGGAACACACTCTATGCGGCATTTTGGGATGCTCTCACGTGCGACGCCGATGCAGGACGACGCGGGAATATGCAGTTGCGTGTGGAGTATCTTTTGAAGCGCATTGTTGACCTCACACACGGGCAGGAGACGCACGAGAAGTGGGAAAAAACTGTTTTCTTTCATGAGCAATTTGTGTGGGTTCCCGCAGCAAGCCACAATCAGTGGGGATTATTTTTTCTTGTTCTTGAGGCCACCAACGAGTTTGGGCTGCACATCGTTCAGCCGGCACTCTTGAAACTTGACGTCCTTGTGGACTCTTTGACTTGTGACGCCGTGGCCTGGGCCGCCATAAAGGATGGCGGCAATACGGAGGCGGCGGTGTCGGGCCCTTCGCTTGTTGGTAGCCTTCACCCGGCATGGGTGGAGCTGCTCCTTTTGAAGGTGTTGCTGCATCCAAACACGGCCGTTCGAAAGGCTGGGTTGCGGCGGCTGTGGTCTCTGAGCACATCGGTTCTGAGGCTCTTTTCCAGTGTTTTTCTCTTCACGAGTGCTGTGGAGGCCTCTCTGGACTCGCGGCTTTGCGCAGATATTGACCGCACACCGCATGCGACACACCTCTCCATGTTCAAGGGCTTTGAGGGGGCCGAGGTGCGTGCCCTGGAGGGTATGGCGGGGCCAATGGCGGATCAACTCGAACGGTTTTACGCTTGCATTTTTCGGGATGTTTTATGCACGGCTCATAAACGCAAGGAGGCCATGTGCCGCCTCCTGCATGGTGTTGTGGAGAGGCCTAGCGTGTACGGCGTGACGATGCTCCTTTGCATTCTTCACGGTGTTGCAGAGACGCTGTCGCTCGATACTGAAGCGCGTAGCAGAGAGGCAACCTTGGAGATGATCACGGATCCGAATGTCCTGCAGGAGTTGCTGCTGCTCTTGAGGGATGCGGCACATGACGGTGTTCCATTTTGGCTTGATGTTCGTCTCAGTGCTGTTGCATTCAGTGCTCTTCTGCACTTTGCCCGGATCGATCCCACTTTGGTGCGTCAGTGCGACGGCCTCTGGAAACTGCTCTGTGTTTGTGGCCCTCTTGGGAATTCCGGTGGGGGCAACGCCTCTGCCATTGATTCCGTGGGACACATTGGTGCTTTCGGCACATGCATTCACCCTCGTTTTTTAAACGAACAACTGATACGGATGTCTATTGCTGCACCGATTGGGGGGAGCAATTTCAGGTTTGCGCGCATCCTGTTGCGGACAGATCGTCTGCTTGAGGATGTGCGGCAGTTTCTTCGTTTTGCCTCCTTTGATGAGGCGCGTGTAAAGCAGCTCTTCTTTCTTTGCGGAGCCTTGGACATAGCGGAGTCCGAGGACCGAAGGCTTCTTGCGGATGTGGCGCAGGAGATTGGGACAACACTTCTCTCCTTTGCGAAGAGGCCGTACAGTCCGTCTGAGTCTTTTCTTGCGGCGTTGGCCGCGTTTGTAGAGTTTCATCGCTCCGTTGGAGCGGTGGCCTGCAAGCGGTACTACTCGCTGGCAACGGTCGTTGATTTGCGCGAGGCTTTGCACACGGTGGCGCTCAGTGCCCTTCGGCAAGTATTTCGGGCGATGACTCAAGTGAACTTCTTTGATGACTTTTCCACGGACGTGTGGGCGTTGCAACACACCTCGGAGTGGGATGTAGTTGTTGCGGCGGTCTTGTCTGCAGGGCAAATCGCTGTTGCCCATGACTCCACTGGTGGGAATACGTGGTTCCAAACACGACAGCACGTTATTGACGTGTTGCAGTTGCTTCTTTTAGATACCGATGGGACTTTTGCTGCTGCTTCTGTGGGTGATACGACCAAAGTGACTCGGCACTTTGCCAAAATGGTTGTGTTCAGGAATGCGTCCCGTTTACTGCAGAGCGTACTGTCCGGCGTGATTACACTGGGCACACCAGGAAACACGTTGGAAGGTTTGAACACTGCTGAGATTACATGTCGTCTTCGTATTGAAAATGCAGACCTGCTTCACTGGCTTCGAAGCCTCATGCGATGTCCTTCTTTGCGACTATTGACATGCGATGTTCCCTGTCCACTGACAAGTCTCTCCTGGGCGACCCTCTTGGCGCAGTACTACGGTGGTGTTTACAACGCCGTGTTTGTCCTTTGCAGTTCTGTGGACCCACAGCAGAGCCCGGATTTGGTTTTGGAAGTTCAGGACTACGCTCTGGATCACGTGGAGCGTTGCTGGGGAACAAACCTTGCAAGCGTTTACGATATTCTTGCCTGGGTGGCTAATAGTGGGACTTTTACGGAGAATAACGCAGTACGTGAGAAGAGCGTGGATCACCGTGCCATTATCAACGCCATGTTTGGACACCTGAAGGATGTTGGGGCAAGAGACCATGGACGAGTCTCTGTTCTCGCGTTTAACGTTCTCCGCTGCGGTGTAGTGGAGCATGAGGAATTGCTTAAATCACACATATCAAGGGCGTTGCTTGACGAGGCGGATTCGGAGCGTTCTGTGTATTTGGCGGCGGTGACAGTAGCAACGGAGGTTCTTCGTGATCCCTCGGCGAACTGGCCACGTCTGAAAGATCTTCTTCTGCATGTCGCGGTGTTGTATAACTCTGGACGAGACGAGGAAGCCTCGGAGATGATGGTGGCTGCAACAGAGCCTTTGATTCTTCTTTTTCCAGAGGCTCTGCGTGTACTGTACCCACCAACGGTGCGACTCTCAGCGGTCGGACGCGCCCTTGCGATTTCTACCATTTTGTGGTGCTGTCATTTAAGACATGACTGGGCGACGGAGATTTCGTTGGAGCTGCTGGATTGGAACACCACTCATGCCGCTGTGAAGCATGAGCCGTGCATGCCAAACTCCAGGCCCCATCGCTGTCGTATTCGTTTGTGGCAGTTGCTTTGTGCGCTGCTTCCCATGCTTGACGATGCAGCCGCTCAGCAAAGTGTTTTGGGGCGGGTAATAAAGACGTGTCTTCCCCTCACCAACATGGGCAGTGTAAGGCGCCTGATGGAGTTGTATGCATTAAAGATACTGGAGCGCCAGCCCGCGTTATACACACTTTTAGATGCGGCGATGACAGATTACAACTTGCGGCCTCAGGTTTGTGGGAGTTATGTTTTGATCATGGCTCACATGATGCTTCAACAGCTCCGCGGGGAAGTGGAACGAGTGGACGGTCTTTTTCATGTGCTGCTTCATCGTCTTTTTCAGCAGAGCACCTCGCATCAACACCTTCTGCGTGTCATCTGCCACATTGGGCTCCATCAAATCCATGAAACATGTACGAAGCAGGGGGTTAAATTCCTTCCCACGGAGGAGATGGTCTTTGACTACATTGCTCGAGCACCGGAGCATGTGAAGTTTCGTGAAAAACATGCCGAGGAGCTTTTCTTTAATCTGGCGGAGGCCTGCACCCCACGACAACTGTTCTGCGTTAAGAGAAGGGAGGGAAATAACATCCTTACGGAGAGTATACCAGCCGCTGCCTTTGATCGAATGCGGTTTCTTGATCACGAATTCCGCTGCCTTATTGGTGCGCTAAGCCCGGTGGAGATGCTTCGCGTGCGGATAATATCAGATCGCTTTGAAAGCCGTCGCATACTCGAGCCCTTTAAAAGCTTCCCGTACATCCCACACACGGAGAGCCACACGACGTACTGCGTCGATTACACTGCCGAAGCCATGGCACTTCTGACAGCAGACAACAATAACAACAACACAAACAACAGGATGATTGACGGGGATGAGAACATTCAGCGTAAGGTGACACCGTGGTGGAATGGATTGGTGTACAATGAACTCCACCCGCGGGCACTAAAGCAAGAAAAGCGGCAACCGCTCATTGTGTTAAGTTCCCTACTCCAAAACCCTGTCAATGTCGCTGGCCTCTTCCGCTGCGGCGAAATCTTCACAGTTGAGAAGGTTGTCGTTTCAGACCAGGCCGTCTTTGCACATCCGCATTTCGTGGCCGCCGCGCGCAGTGCTGAACTTTGGATGCCGTGGGAAGCAGTAATGGCAAAGAATCTGCCGGAATATTTGGGTTCCCTGCGGCAAGACGGCTACACACTTATTGGCATTGAGCAGACGGCTGGAAGCGTGTCTATGGCATCGTATCGCTTCCCTGAGCGCGCTGCTATTCTGCTTGGCGCGGAAGGACACGGCGTGCCAGCGGAGCTGCTGCCCGTACTGGATGTGTGCGTGGAAATTCCTCAATTTGGATTGATTCGTTCGCTTAATGTACACGTCACTGGTGCCCTGGTGATGTACGAATACACCCGTCAGCACCTTATGGAGAATAAATAGATCATGTAAAAGTAAATAAAAAAGATTTTTATTTTTTTAAAAATAAACTTGCTCTTTGTGTGTGTGTGTTTATTTGTGGGTGCCTCGGTCCGTGATGTCTTCCTTAACCTTCCTTGCTGCGTGTTCTGTTTTTCCTTTATTGCGATTTCTTTAAACCGATGCGGTTTTGGTTTTTGTTTTTTATTGTTGTGTACGTGCGGTGTGTGCGGGTGTGTAGTATCGCGGATGCAGGACGAGGCGGTACGGGCGGCGCTACAGAGCGGCGTGTGGCGCGAGAAGAAGGACCCGAAATCCGGCAAGACGTACTACGTCAATGTTCAGACACGTGTCTCTGTTTGGAACCTCGCGAAGGAGCTTGCCAGGTTGCAGCAACAGCAGAAATTTACGGAGGAGATGGAGTTGAGGAAGCAGAAGAAACTGCGGAGCCTAGCCGAAGAGCGGCAGGCGCAGGCGAAAAAGTGGCAGGAGGAGGAGGAGGCGCTGATGCAACGCATGGCTGAGCTGGAGCGGGAGAAGGCAAGGCTCGAGAGCGAGATCACAATCCTGCAGGGGCCGACAGAGGTGGAAGCAGCGTCTTTGCAGGAGGAGCAAAGCCGGCTACTTGATGCGAAGCAGAGTCTTGAGTTGATTGTATCGGAAGAGCTGCGAAAGCGGAGGGAAAGTGCGGCGGAGTTGCAGCAGCTTCAGGCCCGTCTGGAGGCATTGCGACAGGAGCGACAGGAGGAGCTGGGGATGTTTGAGTCGCTGAGGAAACGCCTGGAGCAGCTTCGTCAGGAACATGCAGAGGCACTGGCGGATTTGCAGCGCGAGGAGGCGGTTGAGGAGTCGTTGCGGGAGGAACTTCAGCGTGAGGAGCGTCAATTAGAGGACGCCTTGCATGAGGAAGTGCGTCTCAAGGAGCTCCTGAAGATGCGGGAGGATGAAGTAGACCGCATGAAGGCGGAGTTGAAGGCTGTTTGCCAGCGTAAAGCGGAGCTGCAGCAGCAACACCAGCGACTTTTGGAGGAAGTGGCCGAGAGTGCGATGGGTGCAGCTGAAGACACGCTGCAGGAGCCACCGCCATCGTCATCTCTGCTGCTTTCGCACCTGCAGCGTGAGGTGGCGAACCGAAAGAAGAGCCTGCGGCATTTAATGCAGCAGCAACGGCTTGCGAAGGAGGCGGAGTGGATGGAGGCGGAGAGCGCCGAGTTGAGACGCTTTACGGCCTTGGCGGAGCGCGAGGCCCAACGACTAGCGCAGTTTTCACGGGAGTTGAGCGATCAAGTGCGGGCGGTAACACCGTTGTTGGAGGCAGTCAAACATGACGTGCAGCAGCTGGAGGAGGAAATGGAGGAGTTGAGATAGTCACGCAGCGCCTGGTGGTGCTTGACGGCCTGTCCGTTTTTTTTTCTTCTTTTTTTCTTTTTTAGTGTTGGTGTTGGAGGAGGTTTTATTCCGCCATCTCCCTGTCTATCTGTCTGTGTCTTTTTCATGTGCGTTTCCGAGGGAGCGGACTCAACTTTCTCTTTTTCTTTCCTACAACTGTGTGTCCTCCCGTCCATGCACCCGTTATTTATTATTATTTATTATTTTCACTTCTGTTATTTTGTTTCGGGAGGTTCGGTCTCACAAGGGAAGGGGGCGGGCACGAGGGAAAAAAGTTTGCATCCGATTGTTGTAAGTTATCCCTTGTTTCTTTTTACCGTGTTTTTTTTTTATACATTGATTTATCTTTCGTGTGTGTCGTGCTGAGAAATGCGTCGTTCGGCTTTTTCAACAGGCGTTGTGCCTGCGATTGCGGCAACTTTGTCCCCAGCAGCCCTGCAGGCCTCTCGCAGAGGTGGGCTTGTGATGCACACGCCAAAGTCGGATATTGTGTTGGGCCGCTTCAATTTTATGGGTCAGTACAACGAGTTTCGTAACCGCTCCGGTAGAGCCCCCGACTACTACGTGGAAAAGTACCGAGACACGTATTGGCGCGTGGATGAGTACATACGCCGAGCAGAGCACTACATCCAATCACAAGGATTTTTTTATCTGCCGACATTAGAGTTTCCGTGGTACAGGGGCTGCTTGCCACTCCTCTCATCGTACCAGATTCGTTTGCATTATGGTCGCCATCATCGTGGCTATGTAGAGAAGCTGAATCAGCTGATTGAGGGCACGCCGTTGTACGGATCTAACCTGGATGAGATCATCCTTCGCACACACGATGATGTGATGCTCACTGGCGTTTACAACAATGCCGCCCAGCACTACAATCACTGTTTCTTCTGGAAGTGCATTCAACCCTACGGCAGTAACATTCCTCCTGACCTGAAGGCAGCTGTTGAAAAACAGTATGGCTCCGTGGAGGAGTTTGAGAGGATCTTCACGGATGCTGCGCTGAATCTGTTTGGTAGTGGCTGGGTTTATTGGGTTTACGACACCCGTTTGGGTCAATTTGATATACTTTCACTGTCGAACGCGGGATGCCCGCTGACGAATACGCATGTTGTGCCGCTGTTGTGCGTCGATGTGTGGGAGCATACGTATTACGTGGACTATGAAAATAACCGCGCCGCATTTCTTGCCAAGTACTTTAATGTGGTGGACTGGCACTGGGCAGAGCGCCACTGGAAACGGGCGACAGGGCAGGAGTACTACGAGATGAAGTTCTGGTAGGACCTTCTTGCAGTGGAAGGAGGGAAGGAAGTAAAAAAGAGAAACCACACAAATGCACCAAATAAACAACAGCAACAAACGTATATAAAAAGAGTTGTTTTACTTCTGTTTCTCTTATTTGTGTGTGCGTGTGTTTCTTGTGAATCATATATATATATATATATATAATGTGGATATGTTTGGGGTGTGAAGAAGATGGAGAAGAGAAGGAAAAGGATTTGTATTCGTCCGCATGCGCATCAGGGCACTGCAGCGATGGCTAGCAGATTGATGTTTTTTGATGTTATAATAGGGATGGGGGGGCGGGGTAGTAGTTAGCGGAAATGTGTGCTGTTGAATTGGGAGGGGAAGGGGGTGTATACTTTGGGTAATGTGGAGGGGATAACGAAATGTGGGTCTTCAGGGATTACGGGGGGTTAGTGTGGGGACGTTTTTGTACATATCTTTTTGGCGGAATGCCGTTTGTTGAAGAGTGATAGAAGGCTGCTGCTTCTGCAGGTGTTTTTTTTTTTTTTTTTTGCTGTTGTGCATCTGCGGTACGAGTGTGGAGTGATTGTAGTGGAGGATGCAAGAGGAGCAGCCGAGTAGTGAGAGAGAGAGAGAGAGAGAGGGCGGGTGAACGTCAACGAGTTGTTCACTTCGCTCCTGACAGATTGTTATGGACGAGTTCCTGGCCTGCATGTCTGCATTTGTCTTTGCTTGGGCTTTTGCGTGAAGTGATGGTTGAGTACGCACAGCCCTCGTGGTTTTTCCCCCTTTTTTGGGTGTCACATGCTTACAGGAGGGGGGAGTTCTTCGAAGTCATTTTACCACTTGCCATTGCTGCTGCTGCCTTTTTTTTTTTCCTTTTTTTTTTTTTTTCTTCTAGTGTTCAGTATCCCGCCCTGGTGGGAGTAGTGAATTGTTAGCGTGGGGCCGGTGAATAGTTTTCGGAACACCACCGGTTTTATTTTTGTTTTTATTTTGGTGAGTGGCGGAGTTTTTTTTTTTTTTTTTTTTTAAACCCTCGTGAGAGAGGGAGAGAAGGGAAAGGGAACAGATATCTCAACAGTTGAGGAGGAACGCACGTAGAAACTTGGAAGAATGATGCGCCGTAGTTGTTTTTTGCTTAGCGCCGGCATGGTGGAGTACCACGAGTGGCACCTCCATGAGCCACTCCTGCAGAACTACGAGGGCTGGCGCATTCTAGACAACCCACGCTACGAGAGTAAGTCTGAAGCGTACATCTACGACTTTATTGGTAGTGTCCGCCACCTTGACCCCATCATTGACGATCCACGGCTCACACACAAACAACGCGTTTGCCGACTTTACCGGTGGGCACTTAAAGAGCTACAAATGTGGCTTGTGCAGCTGAATGCACACAAGTTTAATCTTGCCTACAAGGTAGTGCGCCGGCGATTTGAAATGTATCGCTACGTCACGGATCCTGCCATGTGTGACATGATGGTGCGTGAAACTCAGAAGTACTTGCGTGAAAACGCGAATTTCTACTTTCTCCGTCGCAACAATACCTCGCCGTGGTCGACGCATACCCTTGCGAACCCCATGTTTCACCCCGACGGGTCGCAGGTGTACGACCACTGGACACACCCGGAGGTGATGTGGTATGACGACGCAAAGCTGCATCGTTGGACGGGTCACCACCCAATGTACGCCGGGGCAGGAGAGATGTCCGATCGCTTTGGAGACATGGATGTCTCGCCACATCTTCGTATTTTTACTATCGCCATCTTTGGTTGCATTTCACTTTGGTCCATTTGTAGTTTCCTTGCTGTATTTGATCGCGATGTTGACCCACACTTTGAGAAGTGGTGTGAGTCGTTTGACGACAATCTGAAGGGTGCTCTCTACGCGGCGGAGCGGAACTCACGTAGCAGGACCTCGATGTTGGGGTGGGACTGGGACCGCATCATGGGAAAAGTACAGCATCAGAGTGGCTATCATTTGTACAACGTGCAAAGATTTCAGTAAGGGTTGCTAATGGATGGTGTAGAGATGGTGTGCAGTTGTATTTCTCGTTGTATTGAATGTATTAGGAGTAGCAATGATGGTGGTGGTGGTTGAGGGTCGGTGGGGATTTGTAGAGTGAAGGGGGCTATATTATTGGGGGGAGGGGATTTTTTTTTTTTTTTTCTTTTGGCAGTAGACATGCTTGGAAAGTGGCGGGCGGTGCAATTGTGTGTATATGTATGTCTGTGGAGGAGGGTAGCATTAGTAGTGGTATTATTCGTAGTAGTATTAGATGTGATGTAAGGAGCGTTTTGTGTGCCCTCGGTGAAGGCATGGATGCACGGAGTTGTGCCTGTGTGTGTGTGTGTGTGTGCTTGTGTGGTGATTCTTTGCATGAGTCGTACCTCGGCTGATATTGTTTGTTTATTGACTGCGGTGCAATTTTCGTGGAAGCGTCTTTTTTTCTTTTTTATTTTTATATAATTTTATCTGCTGGTTTTTGCTGTGCGTTGGGTGCTGCGTGAGCGATTTGTGCGGAGAAGGCACCGGTCCACAAAGGAGCACGTGGCGTATTCAGGAAGGGAGTTTTGTTTTGCGTGTCGGTCCGGCGCGGTTCCCCCTTGAGGGTATGGTCTCCTTGATTTCGCTGTCGATGGACATGGACGACCAGAGTGCGCTCTCGCTTGTCAACGAGTTGGAGAACGCAGTGATGCGGCTGCACGACGAGAGCATCGACCGGCAGAGCAGCACCAGCACCTCCAGGGCAGAATACCAGCGACTGATGGATAGCCACACAAAACGTGCGGCGGTCATGGAGGAGTACCGGCTGATGGTGGAGCGCCGGAGGAGACAGTGCCAGCAGCAGCCCGCACAGCGTGTGGAGGCTGCAGAGGCCGACGGTATTATTTTGAGCGAAAGCCAAATTGTGAACGAGGCGGCAGTGTCCGACAGGAAAGCGCCCAAGACGGGGGCTCATCCCGCCGGTGAAACTTCCGTGACATCTCCCACCGCCAGCATCATCGCCACTGCTGCCAGTGTGACCTCTTCTCTCCGTAGTAGTTCATTCAAATGGAAACGGCCGCGGGGCGCTTTTACTGGCAGCACGGCGAGTTCAGCGGCAAAACAGCGTGCAAAAGTAAACTCCGCGCCAAGTACCCCGCGAGGAGGCGAAAAAAGTCGTTCGCAGCAGGGCAGATCCCGTGGTTTTGCAGCTAAGCGTGTGTCGCCGTCAACGACACCGCCACTGTCATTGCGTGAGCCACCGCTGGAATTGCGCCACCCACAAGATTTGCATCTTCATGAGCCAATAGAGCCGAGCGACGTCGTCTCGCCTGCGTCTTCGTTGCTTCTATCACCGAAAGAGCCGTTTGCCCACCCCACCTCCAATACCAGGCGGTGCTCCGGGAAGCATGAGGAGCATGAGCCTCGTGAAGTGAACGACGATGATGAGAGGACGGAAGGGGAGAAGTTCCCCACGGGCCAAGTTGGGGAATTGACGCATCGGTTTTCCACACCTCTTGGGCCAGCTGCACCTGCTGCGCCGCACACTCCTGATGCTTCCACGCTTGTGATTGAGACGGAGGAGGACAAACAACTGCTAAAACACCAAGCGATAAAAACGAGGTTATCGTCCGTAAGCAAAACGAGGAGAGTTTCCAAAAAAGTAGCAGACAACAACGCACCGCTCTCGGAGGAATTCCAACGGAGATTACTCTCAAAGGAGCCGGTAGCCATGAACGACGACGAGGAACTGTCATCCATGACGTCTGTCTCTTCTCGCTCTCTTGAAGACATGACACCGATGCTCAATCGTTTTGGTCGTCACGCAGAAGAAGATGTATCCAAGAGTCGGAGAGAATTGAAGCCATCCGGTTTGTCGGTGGTGGGCCGGAAGCTCACCGCACCTTGGTGCCCGGCAGATGTTGTGGAGGCCCCACCCCTGCAGGGAGGCGATGACGGCGGGAGGGCAACCGAACCTAATTGTATTGTGCCACCTGCATCGCACGACGCGCAGGCGCTGCGGGCTGCAGCCGATACGTTGTCGGGGCGTAGTATTGCCTTTACGGCCGAAGATAAAGCGGCATGCATTGCTACCGTTGCTGCCGTACTGCAAGGCATCCTCGTTCAGACCCGTCGTGTGCTTCCTTGCTATTACTGTGGCGAAGGGCAGCCCCTCTCCTCGTACAGGTTGCATTTGGACTTTTGTAAGATCCGCACGGAAGCCCTCTACGCGCGCTACGGCCTTAATCCGCTGCGTTTTATGATGAGCGTGCCGGTATTGCCCATTCCGGCACTAACGGCTACGGATGCGGAGAAAAGCGCATTTGCCAAAGCGTGCTATAGGAGCGTGAAGGAGTCCATTCTGCCATGCCCCGGATGCGACATGTCTTTTCGCATTCACGAGCTTCCAGAGCACCAAAATGTGTGCAACAACAGTAGCAAGAGCAACCGCATCGGCGGCGATTTACCCTTAAAAGAAAAGAAGTGAATTTACAAAGATTAGAGCTTTTTTACACACACGGGGTAGAGAAAGAGAGAGTGTGTGTTTGTCTGTGAAAAAATAGAAAATAAAGAACGGAACAAAACCCAGTCAAACAACACGGGGAGAGGAAAGTGGATTGATGGGTATGGATGCGCTATGGGTGAGGGAGAAGGGAACAATTATTTTTTCGCCACAAATATCTACAGCCAATTGTTGTCGAAGTTGTCTTTATCATTGGATTTTTTAATTATTGTACCAAATTGTTTTCTTTTCTTACATCCATCCTGTGTACGTTTTACATTTTTTTTTTGCTCCATCTTTCTCCCTCTGTGTCTGTCTGTGTGTATTTGTGTTTATTGTGGGTTTTTGTTGCCTTCCACGTGTTTCCCGCCCCGGCGTTATGTTGTCTGTTTCGTGCTTCTTGTGTTTGCAATAGTCACAGGAAGTTGCACGTTGGCAGTTTTGGAGTTTTTTTTTTTCTTCTTGGGTGCGTGTCTGTGCGTGGAGACGATTGTGTTGGGATATACCCACAAAGTAAAAAGGGAGTGGCTTGCAGGCAAAAGAGGCGTGGAGGCGGACAGGGACAGGAGACCCCACGCACAAACACAACAACAAAAGGAAAGGGAGGTGGGAGGCAGGCAGTGGCAGGGTTGAGAGAAGGGCGTGCCGTTTGGTGGTTTTTTCCCCAGCACGACGCCACCGTCGACCTCGTTGTTTTTGGACGGCGATGCCCTGAAGGTGCCGCAGCGCCTCTTAGAGACGTACGACGATGCGGTGAGGCAGCTCCGTATTCCTGCTATTGACACGGAGTTCTACGAGTCATGTTTTCTGGCCCCAGTGCGGGAGCTGCTATCGGCACTGAACGGGAACGCAGAGAATGACGAGTTGAAGCGCGAGCTGGAACGGCGTTGCTTCCCTCTCACGAGTCTCTGCAAACATCTTGAAAGGCATCTTGCCGCCACTGTGCGTGTGCTTCAGCTGTGCCAACACCGCGATGAGCTCGTGGAGGACATGCTGCGTATGTGTGAGGCTTACCAGGTCAACATCACGGTGCCGCAGCCACCGGAGCTTTTTGATTCTTTCCTGCGGGCGCTTGAAGAACATCATCTTGTGACGTCATTTATTGTGGAGGCCATTTCTGACTGGCGTGAGCCGCTTTCACGTCCATTTCCTTTTGTCGTCTCCGGGGAAAACTATCTGTACCGCATTATGGATGACTGCAGCCTGTTGGACGCCAGCCTGCTTGGAAGTCTCATTGGGCTACGGCTAACGGAATATCCGCTTGGCTCACGTAATGATGGAGTAGCAGAATCTAAAAGAAAGCGAGGTGTTTTTATACGCGGTGTTGGCGGTCTCATGTGCGTGGAAGGCGAGGGGACGCCTGTCGTCATGCAAGGATGGCCGTCGCTGTGGCGGCGTAAAAAAGTGCAGCGGTGGATACACGAAATCGATGCCACCAGTAAACGACGGTGCCCGCTTGGGCGTAAATTTAAATGTAGTCCAGCAGATTTGCAGCGGGGTGAGGCTGTAATTAAGGAGGAAGGCATTCTTCAGAGGAACCTGATGGATGAACTGTCAATGAAGGCAGAGCAGGGCCTTTTCGTGACGCTGCTCGCCACACCTGATATTGTGAGGGGTGCCAGTGATGGGCTGCCACTTTTAGAGGGATGCTCGGCGTTGTGGTGTGAGAGAGCCGTTGGGGGAAAATTCATTCACCGCCACTGCCCCGACAACAACAACAACGACAATGACAACAAATGAGAACAGACAGCTCCTCATGGGGTGTGTGGCACCGCAGCAGCGTGAGGCATCTGCGAGGATCACGACGTACCCTAATAAAGAGGCAACCAAACAAAACTACGCCTCACCCGCTCATCCTTCTTTTATGAATTCTTTTTAAGCGTCTTCATCCTCGTCGTTTCTGTCATCATTCTCCAATGCCGATTAGCTGAAGAAATATGACTTCGTTTTGCTGCCACACGAAAACTCTGATGGGGCGTGAGGGGGTGGGAGTGCTTTTTTTTCTTTTTTATGCATACTTGGGGGAAAACTCCATTGGAGCCATTATTTATATCAACTTGTTTTTGTTATTCTTTTTGTAGTTTTTTTTTTTGTTAGTAACTTTTGGAGGTGTACTGTGCACGTAGGAGGTGTGTGTGTGGCCCGTACTCCTTTCTTTATTTTTTATTGGAAGCATAGATAAGACCCCCGAATGACGAACAGCGAGTCGACGACTTCTCATAGTGAGGCTTGGGGGTCCGCTGAAAATCCGGTGAAGCATGTGCGCGCCCGCACCCACTCAACGGACATTGGAGATTCGAAGAGGACCGTGGCGTTTGGCGAGTATAGACGCTCTTGGCTGACGCCATTCTTCGGCTCCAACGATTCGGAACCGCAGTTTTCGTGGAACGCCGTACACCCGTGTAAGCTTTTTAGTCGACACGTGCATGAGTGCTTGGAGCAGCATGAAAATAACGTTGATTTTTGCCAGACGAGGGTGGCCCTCCTTCAGTCATGTTTAAATGAGTTTAATATGTAGGAAATGTAGGCGATACCAATCGGGTCAGGGGGTTATGAGGGAGGGGGTATTAAAGGGGGGAGAAATGGGGGACGGAGGGGCCGTGTGCAGAGTACATGTAGAAGGAATTTAGAGGACGGGTGAGACCACACGCACGCACAAAACGGGGTATTGAGAGGCGTAATTGAGTTGAATTGTTGTTTTTGTTTTGATGTTGTTCTTTTCGAATTGTTGCTTTTCGCTGAGGCCTGCAGGGCGGCGAACATTACATTTATTTTTTTTTCAGTGCGTGTTCTTTTGGGCCGGGTAAACCGCATATTATTGTCTCCCTCGTCTCCGTTACAAATGGATACAAAATGTGTGCATGCATGCATGCGTTCACATATACTTGTTTTACCTCCTTTTTTTTTTTTTTTTGTTTCTTTCTTTTTTTTTCTTTTGGTTGGGGATTTTTATTTGATCCCACGTGGTGGGTGGTGGGGTGTTTGTGTGCACACACGAACATACACGCACAAAAAAACAAAACAAAGGAGGAGGCACCACTCACTCTCTGCTGGTGGGTGGCGCGGGAAGATGCAACCTGTCCACACGGTCAGGACGTCTGACGAGGATGACACCTATGTTCTTGACGGTTGCGTCTGCAACGATGGCTCCTCATTGTGTCTTTCCGTTTCCGACCACACAATCCGATGCTACGACACCCACACCGCGACTTTTCTCTTTACTCTCACGGGGCACACATGCGCCATCAAAGACGTGACGACGTCAGCATCCCAGGCAACGGTCCTGTACTCCTCGCAGGAGGATACAGGGGTTATGATTTCAGACATGCGGCAGGTGAATCCTGCGCACTTCCTGAGCGAGTTCTGCGGGAAAGGGGCGACGGGTGGCACAGTCGGCGTGACCCCCAATGGCCGCTTTCTCGGTGTTGCCGTGAATGGCGACACACACATCGTGGACACGCGCATGTGGCATACGACGCATGTCATAGCAAATATGCACTTGGACGAAATTACTCGACTCCGTTTTCTCGATGACACGGTGTACTGCTCGGCGGGGGAGGATCAAATGATCAACTTCATTGACTCCGCCTCTGAAGTTGCAGAGAACGACATGCTTCTGCAGGCGATTTCCTGTGGGGAGGTTGTGACGAAGATGACGGCGTTTTCGCATCTTGGCGTCTTGGGGCTTGTTGGCTCCTGCGAGAATGCATACCTCTTCCCCTTTGACTTGCAGGAGAAGGAGGTACGCTACCCGCGCCCCGACCAGGCAACATATCTTGTGGAAATGTGCGTTCTCGCTGGGCAACCGTACCTAGTACGTGGGGTGCGAGACGACGACGGGAATGTCGGGCCGCTTTCTCTCATGAATTGGGCCACCCGTGATGTGACGCAGCTGGCGCCTGTGCACCGAGAGACCTGCCGCATGGCCATTGGCGTCGGTGAATGTCTCGTCACCGGCGGTGAGGACGGTCTGGTGGCCTTCTGGCGCACAAATGACACGGCGGGTGCCGTGACCGCGACGACGCTTACGGATGCTGCTGCGTTAGGGCGGGGGGTGATGAAATCACGCCATCACGTGACGAGACCGCTGCGGTCAATGCCGTACGCAAAATAAGGCGATTAAACAACGGTGAGGGGTGGGGAGGGGTCTACTCGTCTACTCCTCATTGCTAAGAATTAATTCCAGTAATACCGATGAAAAAGAGCACACGCACAAACACACACACTTGCAGGGAAAATCCATCTGTGATTCTGAAAGAACTGGGCATTTTAAGTCTGCTGTATTTGGGCTTTAACGATGGATTGGCCGACCCGCATGTTTACCACAGCGTTTATTTGAGCATTATTTCCAGTGTTTTTTTTTTTTTTAATATTATGATGTTTATTTGTGTGAGATTCTCTCTGTTGTTTGTTGCTCTGCTTTCATTCATTAGACTGCGTTGATGTTGTGTTTTTCTTTTTTTTGTTTCTTTTAAATTTCTCATTCCGTTTTTTTTTTTTTTTTTTTTTTACACACATAAATACATACATGCATTGTGTGCACGCAAAGTTCAACAATATCCGCCGCAGGATCACCAGTATCATACAAATAGTGCGAGCGAAACATGAGCTTGTCGGTGTCCCCCCCAGCGAACGGGAATGGGGCAGATATAAATGAGTCACTTCCAAGCCATGCACCGGCAATGGGTGAAACTTCCGCGGACGACGCATCGTCAAGACCACGGGAGGAAAAACAGCAGCAACAGGATGAGAGTACAGCGCAGGATGACGCAAGGGGCATGGCGACGCCGATACATTCCGCCATGAAAGGAAAGAGCGGACGGGACCGCAGTAGCGACATGAAACCACGCTTCAACCCCGAGGTATCTGTGATTGAGACACCCAGCTACTTTCTTGTGATGAACAACGAGGAGAGCGGGGACGAGGCCGAGGAGCTTGCTGTATTCAACCGCCTTTACGAGGAGGCAAAGTCGCGGCTTGAGCGCTCCAAGGCTGCAGCGACGGCAGGCAAAGATGGTGAGGCTGAGGACCCTGACGCGAAGGAGTGCACATTCTCTCCTGTGGTATCAGATTACGCCAAGCAACTGGGGAGGTACACGAGGTTTGAAGAGTTCTTACAAACTCAAGAGGAACGCCGTAAAGTGAGCGCCATGCATTTTGCGAAGAAAAAGGAAAGGGTGTTGGGAGAAGATTGCGTGCCCCTCTTTGAGGACATGCCGCGGAAACACAGTTTACGTATCATTTCTTACTTGGAAAAGGAGCGTAATTACAAGGGCCCCATAAAAGGATGGCGTGAGCGTTTTCGTGCGTACATGAATAAGCTGCAGGAGCAGGACCGGGAGTCGACTCCGAACAAAACCAAAACCAATGCGAGTACACCGTCCGTGCACAGTGGTATTACTCGTGATGACGCCGTGTTTGATCGACTCTATGATGAGGCTCTTGTGCGGGCGGTGTCGCAGCGCGTTGTGGCGATGACGCAACTGGAGAGGGAGTCCCGGGAACTTTACCGCCCCAAGACAAATGAGTCCGAGTATAGGGGTAGCGATGGCCACAGCAGTCAAGTTTCCCCCTCCAAGGGGAGAAGCAACAGCCGCTGCAGCAGCAGCAGCCAACGCCTCTCTAGTCGCGGTGGCCATCTGGCTTCTGTCAACAGCGATTCCATGAGCAGCGTTTTTGAGGAACTTTACGCCATGGGCGAGGAATACCGTCGTCGCCGGGAAATACGTGCAATGGAGGCCATCGAGAATCAGGAGGAGTTTACGTTTAAGCCGGCGACAAACCCTGAGAGCAGCAAGATCATCATGGAGCGTGCCATCGCCCGTGCCAAGGGAGAGCTGCCGGAGCGCGCTGCGAGGAAACAGCTTCTCGACGCTGCGGATGAAAATGACGGGAATGAGGCAAACGCACGGGAGCGGAAACGCAACATTAGGTTCAACCCCGACATTTTCTGTTCACGTTTGCAGCGAAAAGAATTTGAGCGGCTGAAGCGACTTGCCGAGCTCCGGCGCCAGTTGCGAATGGATGAGGCGTCAGAGTGCACATTTCGTCCAAGCATCTCCCGCAACAGCCAAATAATGGCAATGCAGAAGGGGTACGGCCAGATTACATTTGCCCCGTCCTTGCACTCTTCCCCACGGCATTCTCGCCAGCACACGGCGGGAAGTGAGGAGGGTGGCCAGGAACATCATGACGCTCGTAATGGTGACGGCGACGACGACAACACCTTCCAGCGAGATGTCTACCGCCACCACCAACAACGCAGACAAGAGATGGCTAGCCGTGGTAACAGCAAGGGGAATGCGAACGACAATTTCAGGAGGAGCAGCAGCGGCAGCAGTGGCGGCGGCGGCGTGAACGAGCCGGCCGGACGCTTATTTGATGCCGAGGAGGTGACCGAAGGTTACATCTCTGCACTTTCGTCGGAGATTCAGGGCGTTCTGTCACAGTGGACGGAGGCAGCGGAGCGTGCAAAGGCCGCCATCTGAGAGGCTGAAGAGGGGAAAGAACGCATGGAAAGGCAGAAAACGAAAAGAGCAAACAAACAAAATAGGCGTCCAGTGAATGGATGAAAAAGAATAAAGAGATGATTTTCTTTTTCCAAAAAAAAAAAAAAAAAAATAAATAAAAAATATATAAAACAAAAACAGACAAAAAGAAGGTTTGAATTGTAGAAGGAGGGAAAATGACGAGGAGGAGACATCATTGGTTGCCACTAGTACGATTGTTTTGTCGCCATGTAACATGCCTACGTCGGACGATTTCATGATATTTATGTTTGTATACCAGTTATTTCACTGTACTCATTGGACGTTGTAATTTCTCTCTCTCTCTGTGTGTGTGTGTGGGTGTCACATTGGCAGTGGAAGATGTCACGTTTTTAATTGAAGAACTCTCCATTTATTTATTGATTTATATTTTATTTTTCCACTTATTATTATTATTATTATTATCGACTGTATTCATGAATAATTCTCTACCAAGATGTCTAGGAGGAGAGAATGCTGACTTTTTTTTTTATTTTTGAGATTTTGAGGAGAGTAAAGATATTTGTTCTGCACGTGCACATATACCTGTAAGCCTCTTTCTGTGTGTATGTATGTATGTGGAGGGGCTGTTTTTTTTTTTTATTTGCTTGTTTGTGTGCTTTTCTTTTCTTTTCTTTTTCTTTTTTTTGCGTCCGTGTTTGTGGCGTGGGAGGAAGTTAAATACGCGGAATAAAAGCAAGGAAGGTAATAGGGGGAGTATGCAAGGAAAAACAAAAGCAGGAGACACGGAGGGAGAACGAAGAGGAGAGGGGAGAAATAAGAGTGGTGAAGAAGACTGGCGGCTTCGCGTGGACATGCCGTGGGCTGTGGCGTGCGTTGGTGCTCTTCTTGTGACACTCGGTGTGCACTACAAGGCACTCTGCGAGGACCGCACTGATTTGTCGCTGCCGGAGCTCAGAGCTTCCATGGAGGCGAAGTGCCGTTTGTTGGGCGACGTCTTTGAGCGCCCCGTGATGGAGCCGTTTCTTCATCCTGTGCCCTCGCAGTTTGGCGTGGCGGTGTGGGTCGAGCGGGAGTCGTGGGCATCGCCGGTGCACGAGGCACTTGATCGCATCGAAGAGGCCATTGGTCGGGGCTCATACAAGGCCGATGCCGCGGGATCGGGGGCTCGTAGGCTGCGGCTCATTCAGCGCATAGTGCGCGTGGCCACAAGCAGGCCCCATAGTGGCATGCAGGATGACAGTCTCTCACTTGTTTCGGTCGCAACGGCCCAACAGCTGGGCTTGGGGTTGACCCAGCACGTATGCACGGTGGATTTACGTGGTGAGGTAATAATGCACGGCATCAGCTTCTTCCGCCGAGCTTCATCGTCTGCTGGTGACTCGCGGGTGCAATGTTTCTCCTTTGATGAGAGGCAGGCGTATTGCACCATTCCGGAGGACGTGTCGTCGACTTGGTTGTCGCGGGAGGTGCCTGCCGCCGTTGCTACTTTGATGTCCCGTTGGCTGCAACTTGATAGTTTTCGTGACGCAAGCACCGTACGGCGCTGGGCGTTGGAGCGTGAGGCGCAGAGCTGCAAATACGCCCTGCGCGCCCTGCAGCAGCTGGAGCTCTCCGTGAATGCCCATCCCGAAATGCCGGCGCCGTTGGATGTGGCTGAGACGATCGGCCGATTGCAGTCTTTGATTGACGCTGGGGAGCTCATACAATTTGCACGGGCCGCCGACGATCTCCAGTTCCACCCGCTCCTCCTGCCCCAACTGTACATCCCATGGGATCAGGCGCTTGTAATTCATTTCTCTATCCTGCTGCCTGTGATGATGGCGGGGATTCTCGGAGTGCGCATTACCGTCGCAGCTCGAAGGCGGCGGCGCGCAGCCGCAAAACTACAAGAACCGACGGAAGCGAAGAAGAACGACTGAGCAAAGGGCGCATCAAAGAGAGGGGGATGATGTGCTCCTTTTTTTCTTCTACATGATTGTGCGTCTGCCTTTTCTGTATGTTACCCATCCCTTGGGCCTTGCGATGTTTATGAGTCTTTCCTCTCCGTCTTTCAGCCGCCTGGGCGTAAACACATTACATTGCATTTGGTGCCTGACTGCATGCAATTCATCTCCTTGCATTTCTTTTTTTCTTCTTCTTTCTTCTTCTTGCTAATGAGCAGCGCACCGTGCGCATCATCTCTATTTTTTCTTTGTTTGCATGGTCAAGGAATTGCAGGCGTCGACCGAGACGGAGAACGGCCGATCGGCCCCCGGAAACACGGATGAGGCCGGCACGGACATCATCACACAGCAGCTTGCACGTGCGCGTCTATGCAGCCACAACAAAACAAACAACAACAGCAACAGCAACAACAGCAACACCCCGACCAAACAAAACCCCAGCGCCGGTACCAGCGCCGCTAACAACAACAACAACAACAACGGTGAGGGAGGAACTGGCAAATTTGCCTTTGGGAATTTCTACAACGTCAGTATTGACGGCGACGACGGTGACAGAGATTTCCTCAAGTGCGCGGAGATGATTGCAAACATCATTCTTTCGCGGCAGTCATATAAGAGTTTTGACAAGGGTGAGATGGAGGTTTTTTTTGGATCGGATGCCACGGACTTCATCGTGCAGGTAGACGTCCAGCAGGCGGGGGAGGAGAGTGTCCTGAGCTTTGATGGCGGCATTTTCCGTTTTAAAGGCATGAGGACTAAAATCGTCCCATGGGAGACATATGTACGTGATGTTAAGGCGGTATTTAGCGCCATTGAATCGGGTCCTTGCCTTTCTACGGCGAGGACACGTCTTACCACAATTGCCGAGAAGTCACGCCTTTACTCTCTTCTTAATGGTGGGGTGAATTTGAGTTGTAGCAAAAAGACGCTCGGGGGTGGAATATATTCCATCTGTGCCCGCGTGGACAACGCTTTGCACCTACCGACTTCCGTGACGGCCCAAAATTTGCTGGATTTCATCATTACAACAGCGCTGGAACAGCCACGCACGCCGCTGTTTTATGACGAAAAGGGGAAGGCTGTGCATCTCATGGAATACCTGGAGAGCCACGGTGTGACGGATCCACGTGAACTGACCGTTCATGGGCTTGGGATGCAGCCGCCGCACCACAGAAATAAGTTCCAGTACTACAACGTGCTTGATACAAACCTCAATCCCTCTGGAAAATTTGGCGCACACCTACTGCAGGCTGTCTTCTCTACAAATGGACCGAAGGAGGGAGATCTTTTTGGTGCCCTTATCCGTCCAGAGTTGGAGAAACGGGAGTTTAAGGACCGACAGGTGGTGGCGACGGAGATACTCCTCTCTTTTTATGGACAAAATGCCGAGGAATTACAGAGACTTGCGGCGTGGGTGCGGCGACAGGGTTTTAACTCATTTGAGATGAACATGTGGACATTATGTATCCCACGCTCCGCACCACTGCGTGGGCCCAATGAACAGCCTGTGACATGCGTTACTTTTGGAGACCAGTTGCGCCATATCTTTTACCCTATGTTCATGGCAACTCTTTACCCCACGGATCCCGCATGGGCGGATGTGGCAGCACTATTACGCAAGACCGGTGCGATCAGCATTTCCCCAGAACGCATTTGCCACGCTGAAAACCTTTTGGCAGATGCTCTGGACCCGGATGAGATAAAATATGAAGACGTTGTCAATGATCACTGCTTCTTTTACTACATTTGGGCAAATTTGGTCTCACTAAACGCCCTCCGCACGCGTCTTGGTCTTAATACATTCAATTTTGCTCCTTCTGTCTTTGAGGTGGCACCTGCATATGATCAGCTAGTATCCAGTTTCCTCTTGGCCGATGTGGTGTATCACGTCACGTCGCTAGAGAAGAGTTGGATTATGCAGTATCTTTTCATGTATTGCCGTATTGGAGTCGTTATGTCGCCGTTACGAGACAATACACTCAGCATGTCCTACTTTGATCATCCCTTTGTGCGTTACTTTGCGCAAGGATTGTTGGTGTCTATATCAACATCGGACCCTTTGTACTTCCACCACTCTACCAGTCCCTTACTGGAGGAGTATGCCACACTGATGAAACTGCATTCACTTTTACCAATGGACGTACGGGAACTGGCACGTAACAGCGTCATCAACAGTAACTTTCCGTTGGAGATGAAAC